ACATAAACTCACTGCCCTCAAGGTCTTATCTTTTGATTTGCTATTGTCAGTTTGATCCCACATGTTGTTGTTGTTGTTGTTACGTGCTGTTGAGTCAACTCTGACCCATAGTGACCCTGTATAGTGTTTCCAAGGAGCAGCTGATGAGCTTGAAACCAGTGACCTTGCAGTTCAAATAACTTTGCAGTCTGACGCATTAGCCCACAGTGCCACACCAGGACTCCTATATAGACAGATCTTAAAAGATGGCACTGTTCAAGGCAGATACTCCTTACAAGTTAAGCTAAACTATTGTTTGGTTTTAAGATTTCTGGAGATATTTAGGCTTAAAGAGTATCTTAGGGCATTTCCCCCTGTCCTTGGCTGGGTTCTCTAGGGAAGCAAAACCAGGTAAACTTTGTATGTGTAAGGCCAGGATTTGGGAAATGGTTCACACAGTTGTAGAAGTGGGAGAGTCTCAGGTCCTGGTCAGATGAACCAAGATTACCAGACAGGCAGGCCCAGCAAGTGAGGAGGCAGGCTGCTAAAGACTACCAGGATCGACAGATAATCAAACAGGCTCCAGGCTAAAGAAGTGGAGGTCAGAGGACAAACCAGATGCAAGATCCAGACCCAGCAGAAAGTTAACAAGCTTTGCCTGAGTGTCTAATATAGTGGAAGCAGGCCACACCCCTGAGGAAACATTCTACAAATTGATCAGCTACTCATAGCAGGGAGTCCTAGTGTGGCGCTGTGAGCTAATGCATCAGACTGGAAAGTGGTTTGAACTGCAAGGTCAGTGGTTCAAGCTCACCAGCTGCTCCTTGGAAACCCTATACAGGGTCGCTATGGGCCGGAATCAACTCGACGGCACTTAACAACAACTCAGAGCAGAACTCATCAGAGTTAATTACGTTGTAATTTATTACATTTCATTATGGGGTAGCTACAACTTAACTCTAAAACCACTGAGAATCCTGTCCCAGTCAAGTTGACATAAAACCTTAACTGTCACACTCCCTTTTGATCAGGATCCTTTTATAGATGTTTTTAATCAAAATGTTTAATCATAATAGCCAGACACCATCTAGCTCTTCTGGTATCATGGCAGAGGAGGCGATTGTTCATGGAGGCAGTGAACCACACATTTCATATGTTCCTTCTACTCCTGACTCTCCTTCTTCCTTTGTTGTTCCAGGTGAATAGAGACCAACTGTTGTCTCTTAAAAGCTTCAAGACCTCACTACTCAGTGAAGTAGGAGGTAGAACAAAATCACTTAACACGTTATTAGGCTAATTAACTGGAATGTCCCATGAAACCATGACCCCTAAACCTCCTAACCAAGTAATTGGATACCATGAGATTTGTTTGTACATAAGCAGCCTTAGCAGCTACTCTTTTTAATGTTAAATTTCTTTTCTTAATCAAGAAAATCAAAATAAGTATAAAATCAAGAAAATCAAAATAAGTATAAACTAATGCACTGGACCATAAGGTTGGTTTGAACCACAAAGCCGGTGGTCCAAACTCACCAGCCGCTCCTTGAAAACCATATACAGGGGGAGCTATGAGTCAGAACCAACTCGCTGGCATTTAACAACAACTGCTACCTAAATATTTGTATTTAAGTTCATTGAATCTGCCACTGGTACCATAATAAGGAGTTCTAGTGATGGTGTAGGATAAGCACTGGATTGCTAACTGCAAGGTTGGAAATTTAAACCCACCAGCTGCTATGCAGGAGAAAGAAGAGGCTTTCTGCTATGGTAAAGATTTACAGCCACAACTTGTCTGTCAGTGTGTCTTATAGTGGGGGCTTGCATGTTGCTATAATGCTGGAAGCTATGCCACCAGTATTTTAAATACCAGCAGGGTTACCCATGGTGGACAGGTTCCAGCTGAGGAGCTTCTAGACAAAGACAGACTAGGAAGTAGAGGCTGCCTACATCTGAATGTTTAGCCACTGAAAACCTTACAAATAGCAGCTAAAGATTGTCAGATGTAGTGCCAGAAAATGAAAACACTATGAATAGCACCAGAAAATTGTCAGATACAATGCCATAAGATGGACAGTCAAACTGTGACTGCAAAACAGCTGCTGCCTCACAGTAGGGTTAAATCTGATGACATGATGGAATAAAGCTTTCGGGATCTTCATTTGCTCATGGGGAACAACTCAAATGAGGAGAAACAGCTGTAAATAAATATCCTTTAACAACTGGAACATTGAACGTATGAAATATGAATCCAGGAAAATTGGAAGTTTTCAAAAATGAAATGGAATGTATAAAGATCAATAACCTAGACATTATTGAGCTAAAATGGATTGGTATTAACTATTTTCAATCTGACAATCATAGAGTCTATTATGGTGGGAATGACAAATTGAAGAGGAATGACATCACGTTCTTCATCCAAAAGATCTTTCTTTAAAGTACAGTGCTGTCTGTGAAAGAATAATATCCAAATGTCTACAAGGAAGACCAGTTAATACCACTATTATTTAAATTTATGCACCAATCCCTAAAGCCAGTGATTATGAAATTGAAGAATTATACCAACTTCTTCAGTATGAAATTGATCAAACATGCAATAAAGATGTACTGATAATTACTAACAATTAGAATGCAAAGGTTGGAAACAAAGAGGAAGGGTCAATATTTGGAAAATATGGCCTTGGTGACCATATTTTGCTGGAATCACATGAGAGTTTTTCAAGACCAATGACTTATTCATTGCAAATACTTTTTTTTAAAAAAGTTTTTATTGTGAATTGAGTGATAGTTTACATGGGAGAACATCAGTTATACACTCATTGTTTCATTGCAATGATTACAATCTCCTCCGTGCATCATCATTCAACAGTATTTGCTTCCATTACCTCTGGGTTGTTGGGTTTTTTTTTTGCCGGGGAGGTGGGGTGGGGATATACACAAAAACACTCAGGAATATATAATAATTTAAACAATCAAAGGGCATATTCTGTAAGCCTGCCTTCTGGTCTCCAGCACTCAGTCTTTCTCTTTCCATGAGTCTAGAGTCCTCAGCTGCTCACTCTCTCCACATCCTCATCTCTGCCTCCATCTCTAATGTCAGTGCTTCTCTGGATAGGGTCCC